GCCAGGTGTGGGCGCTCAGAGTCCTCTTTGTAAGCTACCACAGTATGCTCTGAGCTACCACGGTCTGTCGCCCCCCCCCCGCCTCTTTTGTTTCTTACAGAAGCTGCGACTTTGCCAGTTGACACACTATCATGTGCTTTGGACCCTTTGAGTCAAGATGGGAACACAGGTTAGGACTTGCTAGGTGAGGACAATGAAGCCTCCTCATTAGAGGTGGAGGAGGCTGCTAGCAGATTAGTTATTTGGCAAATCGATCAGAGAGATACAAGCCCTCTTGACAGGCGATCGAAGCCACGGACTTAAGGGCAATCGAGGCCACGGACTTAAGGGCTGCATACCCGGGAAGGCTCCAGCTCAAGCCAGTGAATATTAATCCTCCAAGCCACACCACCAGAGGCGGAAATGAAGCATGAGCTTCTAACCCTTCCCTCTCCTCCCAGGAGGTGTGCTAATGGTGACTTATTGCTAATTGTTGGCATATCTCCCAGGAAGACTGAAACCTTTCTAAATTCACGGGGCCATCAAGATAGCGAAGATGACATCGTCCAAGTCTAGAATCTAAAAAGGAAGGAGCCGTGCGGTTTGCTGAGGGGCTGATGACATGGTGAATCCACTGCCCGATGAATCTACACATTTTATAAAGTTCGACCCAAATATCTCATCTGTTTATGTAGGATTGGTTCTTCTCTACCCCTCCTGAGTTATTATCCTAGTGACATTAGAGAGTAGGGTTGGGACCTGTCACTGGAAGAGGTCGTGAGATGATATTTGACCAAGGGATGCTACTTTTTTTTTTTTTTAACATTCAGAGCTGTGATACCAGAGCTTCACAAACCAGAAAGATTTCATCCTGTTGTTAAGTCTATGCAAGAGCTGGACAAAAGACGTTACTTGAGCCCCTCCCAAATTAAAAAAAAAAATAGATCCTGTATTTTCTGGAAACACAACAAAGATTGCAGCATTGAAAACTCACTGTTGCTCACTGTCTCAACCTTGCCTTCCTTGATAAGACTTGCTTCCTCCTGCATCACTTCTGAAGAAGGCAGGCGAGATTAGCCCAGAAAACAAACAACAGGGAGGCCCTCTCCTTAGCAATAAGACGTCGCTGTGTGTGCACACACGCATGTGCATGTCCTCATGTCACCTACACTGATCTCACGCCAAGATTACATGCAGGCCACCACCCCTGGCTGCTGAAACATGTCTCATCTACCTGTCTACTACTGCAAATGCATTTTAGAGAAAACTTTCTTTGTTTTTGTTTTTGTTTTTTTAATTGCTCTCTGTTCCCCAAAAGGAGGAATAGCGTGGAGATAAAATCATTCCACTCCTCAGTCATCGGAAGTGTGAGTTGCCTACAATGAGAAAAGAGGTGACCGGGGAGACTTTGTATTACGCTGCAAAACCAAATTTCAGCTGTTGTCTGTCAGTCTCAAAGGACTGAACTGCACTTTTAACATGATGGTTCCCAGCTTTGTCAATCCGTTGCTTTCAACATCAGAGAGTACACATTTCCAAGCCTTAAATTGTCTGTTTAGCCATGGAAGTTGTGTGTGTGTGTGTGTGTGTGTGTGTGTGTGTGTGTGTGTGTGGTGTTCGGTCCCTCGCTGGTGTGTATATATGGGGACCCGACTCCTTCAGGTCTGGTTCCTTTTGCAAACACTTAGTGGGCGTCTATGTGCCCATCACTATGCTAAAGTCTTGCGTGTGACTTACATCCGTGTAGTTCTAGAACAGTGAATAAGCACAGTTATTAGTTTATGGGACGTCTCCAGACAGCCAGGAAAGCTAAACAGAACATGGACTAGTGACAATGGTAATTGTCTAGGAACAATGCTTTTATGTAAATTCATTCACTTCTTTTTTTTTTTTTCTGCTTCTGCTTCACTCTTCTGAGTCGTATTGGTTTTATCGAGCTATAAAATAAACTAGCAGCTCTCCAAGAGTCCATGCTTCCCTGACAATTGAACTCTCAAGTCTGCTTCTAAGGACAGATTGGAAAGAAGAAGAAAATATTTTGAGGCAAAGTCAGAGAGAAGGGCAAAAAGCTTCAGGAGAGAATAAAGACACTCGGGAACCTCGTAAATAAAAGTTACTGAAGTGCAGTAGATAGCATGTTGTTGAACCTGGAGCCTGGAACGAGGTTTGGCTTGGTGCATACCAGGAGGGTGAATCGGGGCTTTTGAGAAAGAATAGGAAAGATGAAAGGACCAGTCAAGTAGGCTATGCCTGAGGTAGCTCAAGGAGGAGCATAACCTATGTAATATTTGTCATGAAGAGACAAGTGGCAGGTAGCCTATTAACCTAAGATTCATGTTGTTTCCCGTCTGTGCAGTCCACAGTGGATGATTGATCAGGAAAGCCACATCGAAAAAGAAAAAGATGTTGCTAGCTCAATGTATATACTACAGAGTCCATTCCTAAAGCCAAATATAATTCTGTGGTCCGGTCAAAACATGTTGCTAAAAATCACATGCAGAATATAAATATTACATTTGAATTTTAAATAGGACTTTTTAAATCTCGCCAAATGTCCAAAGTTTTATTTTCCTATTTTAAATGCTTTTTAATTGAAAGAGAATTACACCGCCTCCCCCTTCCCTTCCCGTTCCAAGCTCTCAATCCTCCGGCCCCTGCCCACTCTCAAATTGATAGCCGGTTTTCTTTGACTTATACTTATTACATGCATGTGTTTGCATACATTTGTATTTATTATACATGTTACAAAACAAACAAAAAAATCCAGTGCTTTTTGTCATCAGAATTTATGTCCCTTGTTGTTCTTTGCCAAACAGAACTGCTGTGTTTACTTAGAAAGTCAAATATAAATTAATTCATGCCACTGTAGTATAATTAGAACACAGCTGATTGGCCGAGAAAGAAAGCCTCTTATTGTCACAGGGCGCAATGGCTTTGCTTTCCCTCCAGTTTATGACACTTTTACGGCATATTTTCACCTCTCTCCCTTCCATTGGTAAAAGAACCAGTCAGATCGTTTTTTGTTAAAGGAGGCTGTATCACGGTATATGCTCATGTAAATTCCATCTCATAGCTGAAATTGCACGAATCATGAAAACATCTTTAAATGGTTACATTTTGATGGAGTTTTAAATTTTATGTGCATTGTGTACCCTTAATAAAAAGAGAAGTTTGCCGGGCATTGGTGGCACACGCCTTTAATCCCAGCACTCGGGAGGCAGAGGCAGGCGGGTCTCTGTGAGTCTGAGGCCAGGCTGGACCGACAGCCTCCAAAACAGAGAAACCCTGTCTCGTAAAACAAAAACAAAAACAAAAAAATAGAAAATAAAAAATAAAAAGAGAAGTTTAAGAAAATGGCCATTCTGAAAATTTTAAAAATACATGACAAATAAGAAAATAATCATTTCTTAACCTTCTTTTGGAGACCAGGCTTTAAAAATGTTTTTTATTATATCTAATTTTTTTCTGCTTGTGTCCATGTGTGTATGCAGGTGCACTCAGGTGTCATGGCACAAGTGTGGAGGTCAGAGGTCAACCTCAGGAAGGTTCTCTTCCACCACATAGATTCCAGGGACCAGACTCAGGTCATCAGGCTGGGCAGCAAGTACCTTCACCCACCAGGCTGCCTCACAGGCTCTGAATCACTTTGAATCCCAGCTGACACTGAAAATCCGATGGTAGCTATAGATTCTTCTCTCCAGAATAAAAACCCACACACATGCATATATGCACACCTGTATCCATGAACATGTGTATCCATGAACATGCTTATATGCATGCCTGTATATATGAACATCTGTATACATGAACATCTGTATCCATGCACATGTGTGTATATGCACACCTGTATCCATGAGCACATGTATCCATGATCATGTGCATCCATGCACACGTTTACATACACACATGTTTATGTGACACATGTATATATGCACATGTGTATATATGCACACCTGCATCCATGAACACATGTATCCATGCACACATGTGTATACACACACATGTATATATGCATACATGCTTGAAGGCACACATGTTTATGTGCACATATGTATATGTGCACACCTGTACCCATAAACATGTGTATCCATGAACATGTGTATCCATGTGCATGTGTATATATGCACACATGTATATATGCACACCTGTACCCATGAATACAAGTATCCATGCACATGTGTATATATGCATGCATATTTGTATGCACACATGTTTATGTGCACATGTGTATATATGCACATCTGTATCCATGCACAAGTATATATACATAGATGTATACATGCACACATGTTCATGTGCACACATTTATGTGCACATGTGTATATATGCACACATGTATATGTGAACACATGTATATATGTACATGCACATTCCTGTACATATGTATATACACACGTGTGTACATATAAACACATGTGACATTTGGCTTAAAGTTTCACAGTTCATGTGCTCTCTGGAGTCAGCCCCTGGACCCACCAAGGTCCACGGACTCTGGTTTATGGACATCTGCAAATAAGCCCACATTTGTTTGGCGAGAAGGGAAATTTGCCAGTGTGGTAGCGTGTGGTTGGTGAAGCCTCCACCCTCAGAGTGCGCACACCTGAAAGGAATCTCTTTTAAAACCTCCTTTTCGCAAGGAAGAAAAAAAGAAAACTGTGGCTCACTCATCTCTTCGGTTTAGCCTTAGAATGAAGACCAATTTCCTTTGGGTCAAACCCCAAACTCCTGGTGTCCTGCCTCTTCTAACTGCTTGACAACTAGAGATGCCTTAATGAAACCCAAATGGGTGAAATTCAACACTTGGTCCTGACACACCTCGCAGCTGTTCTTCATAAGGGTCCTGGGCAAGTCCTTAGAGAAGGCGAGCCTCACACGTCAGCCAGGGGAGAGGGTTCGCTGGAGAAGGAAGATAACGGGTCATTCCGGACCGCTCCCAATCAATAAATACTGAGCGCTCAGGATCTCAGCCCTCAGTCGGATTAGTGAGGCAGCACTTGGGGCGGAGAAGTGAGCTATAAAGAGGGAGTTTGTGCGGGTGTTAAGGTGAACTCTGCAAATGCACTCCGGGGTGCTGCTGGGATTAGGCCAAACTGCATCCGGTCGTCCTGTGTTTAAATTCGCCTTGGAATACATTTCCTGCAAGAACTTTATTACAGGGGCAGTAAAGGAGCTTGCAGGCCCGAGTTCAATCCCTGCCGCCCACAAGATGGGAGGACACACCTGGTTCCAGTACCTTGTCCTCTAGTCCACTCTCACAGGTAATAAAAGGTGGTTGTGTGTGTGTTTTCTTCTTTAAAGGATCTTATTTCAGCCGGGCGGTGGTGGCGCACACCTTTAATCCCAGCACTCGGGAGGCAGAGGCAGGCAGATCTCTGTGAGTTTGAGGCCAGCCTGGTCTACAGAGCTAGTGAGTTCCGGGATAGCCAAGGCTACACAGAGAGACCCTGTGTCAAGAAAACAAAACAACGAAAAAAACAAACAAAAAATAATTCTTTCTACAAGTGATTGTTTTTTGTTTGTTTGTTTTGTTTCCCCCCCCAATGGAGCCGGAATGATCCTTTCAGATTTCATCCCAGTAGAAAGACTGTTTTAATAGACTTGAAGGCAATTAGTGGAAACTTTGGGAATACTGGAGTTTGGTAAGGAATTGGATGTCACAACACCATCGACTGGATTAGCTCATCATGGGCTTCCCTTTCTTTTCCTTTTCCTTTCTCCCCAGCTGTGGCTGACATCTCACCTGTAGCTTGTCTGTCAAGCTCTCCCTAGAGCAGTCTCGGTTTGGGAAATGATTACCCTACACATTCTTCGCTCCCGTGTGGAGGTGGAAGTTTTCACACTCGGATGAACACAAAAAGCTACACGCCGCTAAGCTTTCGACCCATGAATCTTCAACGTCGAAAACGAGAAGAATCGGTCTGAAGGCGTGGGGGTAAAGACTTCGCTAGAACCAAGGTAAATGATAAATGGGTGTTTACTGGGGAACAATTATTACACAGACATAAAGAACCGCGGGAGGGCCCGCCCTTCCTACCTGCATCTGCTGACCAGAAGCAAGCCAGGCCTCAAGCTTCCCTCTTTCCGCTTCCGCTTCCTTAGCCTGAAACCACGCCCAAAGGGGTGTGGCCACCGTTACAGGTCCACAAGGCTGCATTAGTCAACTTAACCTAAAATGAGTGTACATTTCCTTACAGTGCCCTGAGTTACCATTGGCTTCACGGGGACGTGTGGACGTGAGGCCCATTAACCTGAAAAACAAGACCGGAGGGACGCATATTCAAGACTTTGCATTAAATTAACTAGAGTTCTGGGTTCTGACCCAGAAACTGTCGCTCTCATCATCTCCAGAGGCTAAGGCAAGCCCCTGCCAACCCCATTGCTATTCCCCATTCACCCCTTTCTTCATCCATAAAGTGAGGATAACGGCCGGCCTAACTAATTAAGATGGTCGTGTAAATTTAACGTCACGTTCAAAATGCTCACGGTCACACACGGCTATGTAGTTAGGTTTTTAGCAAACCAGCTTGTGTTGCTGCAGTACTATTCACTGAGGGAGTGCTCGGTGGTGGGGAGCAGAGGGGTGGGGAAGGGTGGGGAAGAGAAGGTTAGAGAGATGGCTTGCATCTTGGAAAAAAAATCATGAAACTTTTCTGCTCCTCTGATGAAATAAAATTCTCTGTGTGGTTTCATTTAGTCTCTTCTTCTTCTTCTTCTTCTTCTTCTTCTTCTTCTTCTTCTTCTTCTTCTTCTTCTTCTTCTTCTTCTTCTTCTTCTTCTTCTTCTTCCTCTTCCTTCTCCTGTTCCTCTTCCTCCTCCTCCTCCTCTTCTTCTTCCTCCTCCTCCTCCTCTTCTTCTTCCTCCTCCTCCTCTTCCTCCTCTTCCTCCTCCTCTTCTTCTTCTTTATCTTATTCCTCCTCCTCCTCTTCCTCTTCCTCCTCCTCTTCTTCCTCCTCTTCCTCCTCCTCTTCTTCTTTAACTTATTCCTCCTCCTCTTCCTCTTCTTCCTCCTCCTCCTCTTCTTCCTCCTCCTCTTCTTCTTCCTCTTCTTCCCTCTTCTTCTCCTCCCCCTCTTCCTCCTCCTCCTCTTCTCCTTCTCCTTCTCCTCCTCCTCCTCCTCCTCCTCCTCCTTCTTAAATCTATTCTCTCTGGTAGAGTATAAATTATCTCTGGCACAACAGTACATCACTGATAGCACTGAATAACTGAATATCCAATGATAGACATTTCCCACAAAGCCCATTTTCAGTTCTGATGATTCCTGATTCTTCTTTGGAAAATGAGTTTGGGGTCAGGGGCAGGGGATTGGATTGAGAAATTGCTCAAGTAACATGCTTGCTGTTCAGACCTAAGAATCTAAGTTTAGGTCTCTAGGAACCCCCCCCACCCCACCCCAAGAAAAAGGCCTGGGAAGCACCCATCTGTCACACCAACTCAGGGGAAGTAGAGGCAGGGGAGGGGGCTGTGCGGCTTGGTTGCCAGCTGGTATGGCTGAATCAGCTAGCTTTGGGTTTAGTGAGAACCCCAGTCTCAAACAATAAGATGGAGAACCTTGAAGAAGAAACCTGAAGTCAACCTCTGGTCTTGACATGTGCACACCCTATGAACGTGTGTGTGTGTGTGTGTGTGTGTGTGTGTGTGTGTGTGTGTGTGTGTGTGTGTGCACATGCACACACATGATGGGAGGTGTCATTCTGTAAATCTGTCTCTCTTATTGGTTGTTAAATAAAGCACGGTTGGCCAATAGGGAAGCAAGATAGGTGGGACTAGGAGTCTCGGAGGATTCTGGGAAATGTAGTGAAGGGATCCGTTGCCATGTGATTCCCAGGACGAGGGGATGCAAGTCTGCGTTCTCGAAAGATAAGTCCTTATAAAAATATATATTGGTGATTATGGGTCAATAATTTACTTAGAGCTAGCCAATGAGAAACTATAGTGAATGGCCAACCGCTTCATAATTAATATAGTGTCCTGTGTGTTATTTGGGGGTTCAGATAGCACTGCAGGGCCCAGGCAGTTGGCGTGGAAAACTACATGTTACACACACACACACACACACACACACACAGACACACACACTACACCTGTATAACCTATGGCAGAATGCTTGTCTAGGCTAAGGGAGGCCCTGGATTTGATACCAAGTGCTGATACATATATATATATATATATATATATATATATATATGGTAGATAGTTAGATAAGTAGATAGATGATAGATATATAGATAGTATAGATAGATAGATAGATAATAAGGAATCCCCAACCATCTAGGAAAGTACATAGGCAAATATAATACAGTACAGCTGTTGTTCAGTTTTGTCATCTTACTTTCTGTATTTGCTTCAAATATCTTTTGAAGAAAAAAATACCATAAATATTAAGTCCCCAGCAAATACTTAACAAGTTCTTAATCTCTTTCCTCTTTCTCCTTAGTAATAGCCCTTACCTAGCCTTTGGTGTTTACCATTTCCAAGAACACTTTATATTTTCACTATATTTATATGAACCACATGTCCTCAAACCATAAATGATGTGTACTAACATCTCACAAATTGCTTTTTAATATGTAACATTAGTGTTCAATACACAGTGGGTTTCTTTAATTTTGTTTTATATGTATTGGTATGAGAGTGTCAGATTCCCTGGAACTGACTTAGAGACAGTTGTGAGCTGCCATGTGGGTGATGGGATTGAACCTGGGTTCTTCCAGAGGGCAGTCAGTGCTCTTAACCACTGAGCCATCTCTCCAGTCCCGTCAACACACAATGTTAATTGGGTCATTTTAGGACTATCCACTGTTTGTGTGAATACAATTTTTCTCCATTCTCCTGTGACTGGGCATTTATGTTCTTTTGAGTTTTAATACATGACGGCTGGGGATTTTGAGCAATGGTAGATTCTTTGTCTCACTCTTGTCACCAGAACACACACACACACACACTCATACTCCCAACACGCATGTCTTTGTACATGTGTGCATGTATCAGAAAATAATCTCATCCATGTCTCCTTTGGCTGGAGTTTCTCCAGTGGGCCCAAGGGGTTGAAGGAGTATATTTTCAATTTCTCTAGTCTAGGTCACAGGATCTGACCACTTACTTGTATTACTTTTGAAATGGGTGATCAGAAGGTATTTTTTCCTCCTCCTCCTCCTCCTCCTCCTCCTCCTCCTCCTCCTCCTCCTCCTCCTCCTCCTCCTTCTTCTTCTTCTTCTTTGCATCACAGGAAACAAAGAGTTAATCAAGCCTTAATAAGATTGTCATCTGTATCTCTCTCCTTTTCTATCTCTAGAGAGGTAGAGGCAGCAAGACAATTATTATAACATGAGAAGCTTTTGGAACCACACAAAAGCATGGCCATGTCCTGTCATCACATTGTAATATTTACAACACCGCACTGTCAGTGTGCGATGTTGCAAAAAACAGTGCCACCTGGTAAACATTTCACAGGCCTGCGAGTAAGTCCCTTAGAGAGTTATGAAATACTTTTAGGATGGAGAAACACTGATTATTTTAGAACTCGATAATGGGAAGTGATCGATTCTGATCCGTGACACCAACTAAACTAACTCAGGCTGTCCTCACGTAGGCAAGATGGCTCTCCATGTCTCAAATCCTGGAGCTTAGGCAATCCATTGAGACTTTTAGACCAGATGATCCACTTGGAAGACAGATGATGCCAAAATGTTCCCCATCTTGGTCTCTACCATTAAATGGTTACTGCTTCCCAGTACAATGAAAATTAAAATAAAGAACAGAAAAAGCCTTCTTTGCATTGCCTATCTGCTTAATGTGGCTTCTTTTGCTCCTACGCTGGTTTTCTCTACAGGGATAAAGGATGTAGGGCGTGGCCACTGGGTTTCTCTGAGAAGTTTATGTTGGTGAAGAGGCAGGAGCTCTTACATTCTATCTGGCCAACGATCCATAGATAATGGGTCACCAGGGGATTTAAGAACTGTATCTTTCAGCTCTTGCCAGGGAGGTAGAGCAAGGTGCGCCGACGCGTACCTTAATGTGACACGCCTTGAAGGATCCTCGGAGCCCTTCGGGCTCTCTCTCAGGTGCCTTCGGTGAAGATCAGGCTGTCAGTCAAGGGCAGCAGTCTGTAAATAACTTCAGTAACAGAGTTATCTTTTTTCTATTTCTCTGTTTCAGATTCCTAAGATGCAATCTTTAGATCTAAAAGTGTTTTGTTTTCTTCTAATAAAGCTAGAGGCAGATCTAGGTGTTCTGATCTCAAAAAAAAAGTTTCTATTAAGGAAAGGAAAGCAAGTTACAAACTAGTATGACTCGTGTGTCTGTGTGTCTGTGTGTGTGTGTGTAAAATCACACACAATCTGCCTATCTATAGCAAAACGTGTGTGAAAACATTTTATAAGCACAATGGCTGTCTCTTAGGAATGGAACTAAGATGATTCATTTGTAGGACAGATGTGAACTTCCTTAATATATTTCTACACCATGTGAGGGTTTTTTTTTTACAATAAACGTTATTGCTTTTATTACCTAAAAATAAACGCACTTACTTTTCAGTGTGAACACATTACTTTTGAACAACAGTTCTGTGAAAACAAAAGAAATGGTCCGAGGTGTGGGTTACATTTGTTTTTATTGAACTAATGATGTGCTACAGCCGGTGTGATTTCTCATCTTCTGCTTTTTGTGACATCGACAAGCCTTTGCTTAAGCTGCACTTAACTATTTCTTAATGAGAAGCGTAAACCTCCCAAACTAGAGCTGCTGTGAGTCTCATAGCATAAATTCTTGCTTTACAGACAAGACACCGTGCCTCTGGTCAAATGTCTTGTCCATAAACAGTCCTATAGGTGTACCTGAAAATGCTTCTTGCTCTGAGATTTTAGTATATTGCTAATATTTTTTTAAATCTAAAAAGCAATTTAAATGAATTCTTTAAAACTATCACACACCCATGCTTCAGTATATAAAGTATTACTATAGTAAACTAGCATTCTTTGTACAAGTGAAAACAAGAAGGCATTCCTTAACAATATTTCAACCAGCAGATTGCAAACGGAATTATTTTTACTCTGTGATTTCTGCTCCTCTTTACCCTGTGTTCTCATTTAATCAAATACTACACTCTGTTCCTTTTCTTTTCTTTCTTTCTTTTTTCTTTTTGCCTCTTTAAACTAAGAAGTAGATTAAGAGGACAAAGAATGAAGGAGTAAGACATCAAAGCCAAAAATGTCTACTGTATATGAAAAGAAGTGAAAATTTGGGGCAGCAGAAGGCTGTGGAAGAGAGGCAGGAGTCAGGGCAGAGGAGAATTTGACAACTTCAAGGCCAGTGAGAGGTTGAGGTTTGCCTTATGTTTATTATGGTAAAGCACACAGTAAATGCTGATGGATAAGATAAAGGGGATAGTGGTGTCAAAGACTAACTCAGAAGTCCTCCGGCTCTAATACGCATAAGAACTACCTGAAGTGTTTGTTTAAAATAGAGACCTTAGTCTTTATCGCCAGAAATTCCAACTTACCCAAGGGGTTAGGGAGGGCTGGGGGGGAGAAGAGGGGGGCTTATATACTTGAATGGTGACACTTGGAAGAACGCTGGCTGAAAATACCGAAGCTCTTAAAAAGACCTGGGATAAAGCAATCTAAAGGATAGGAAAAGGGATTTTTAAAGTGGAAGTCAAGGAAGAAGGGAAAGGAAACCAGAAAAGTAAACGTATAAGTAGGCCAAGAGAGAGCGGGCCAGAAGCCTTGAGTGTGACACAGGTGTGTGATAAGACAAGTAACGCCAGTCAGAGGCAGTAAACTGAGGCAAAAAA